AGCAAGGTTACAAGGTTAGATGGTAGTAGCGGTAGTAGGCATCCTTGCCTTGGAGTTTCCCCGTTAGTAGGAAGCTAGCTCTAGGAGTGAGCTGTACTGCTTTATAATTTTAAGGAAGTATCAAGCTGTTCCTGTTTTCTCAAGAGTTTTTATTGAGAATAGGTGTTGAGTTTTGTCACAGGGTTTTTCCAAGCACTATGTAGAGAATCGTGTAATTTTCTCCTTAGTCCTGTTCACGTGGTGATTTATATTAATAGATGTCCTAACATTGAACCAACCTTGCTTTCCTGGTGTAAACTCTGCTCGCCCACGGGGTGCTATTCTCCTAACGTAGCGTTGCACTCTGTTTGCAAAATTCTATTTAGGGTTATCCCATCAATCAATATTCGCAGGTAGAAATCGTCTGTCACTTTCCTTTCTGATGGCCTCTTTATCACATTGTGATACACTGTTATCCTTTCCTAGTAAAATTAATTTGGAAGTTTTTCTTCACTTTCTTTACTCTAAAGCAGTTTACTCAGCATGGGGACTCTCTGATCTCCAGAGGGTTGATAGAATTCCCCTTTGAAACCATCTGGGCCTTTTTTGTGGGATAGTGTTTAATAATTTTCTCTATTTCTTCTGTAGATGTTGGTCTGTTTAACTTTCACCTCTACTGGGGTCAATTTTTATAACTATTTTATTAAGAAATTATCCATTTCACCTGAGTTTTAAATTTTACTTGCACAGCATTGTGCAAAATAATGTTTAAGTTTTTTTTTAAACTTCCTCTGTATCTGCGGCTCCTTTCCTCCATTGTTTCTTATATATCTGTGCTTACCCTTTTGATTAAACCAGCTAATGGTTTGTTTATTTTGTTTTTATGAGAACCAGGATTTTTATTTATTAATTTGATCTGTTTCTCTGTTCCCTGTTTACTCTCATCAGCCTCTGCCCCCATCTGTATTCTGGCTTTCATATTTCACTCCTTGTGTATTCTTTTGATTTGCTTGGTTGCTCTTTCGCTTGCTTTTATTTAATTCATATACTTTTATTCTTTCATTTTTACTAACATAGGCCTTCAGGGCTATGAACTTTCCTCACTGTTCTGATGTAGTCCATTGGATCTGGCATGTGGTGTTTTCATTAGAAATTATGTGATTTCTATTTGTATTTCTCTTCACCCAGAAGTTGTCTGATAGAAGTGTTTTTTGTTTTATTTAGAGGCAGATGGGCTTTGGGGGGTTGTTTTGTTTTTAATGTCTAGTTTTCTTGCACTGTGATCAGAGCGCTGTTTAATATTTCTCCCGTGTGCAGCTTTTTGGGGTTGTTCCTGTGTCCCAATGTGTGGTGGGTTGTTGTGCATATGTCCCATGTGCTTAAGAGGAAAGTGGATCCTGTTATCAGAACATTTGATATACATCCGTAGTAGCTGCTGATCGCTTGTGCTGTTTGGGTTTGGTCGCGCTTTGGCTCTCTGGGAAGAAGCAAGTCCCGGAACGTTCCTGCTGCCTCCGCAGACAACTCTCCCACTCCGAAGGCAAACTGAGGGGAGGTCACTTGTGTGGGTGGGTTAAGGGGTGCCCTGCTCCAAGGTGCCCCCCTGTCCCCTCCCTGCAGTGTCATCAGGTCCGTTTATTTGGGTCAGGGCGTCCTCTGCTGTCACTGCAGGTGGCCCTGGGCAGGTAAAAGGGAAAGCTAATGGTAGGTAAGGTTTTCAGCAAGTCTTTCTTGAGCAGGTTTGGAGCACCTGTGGGATCTCCAAAATAAAGGAAACGAGGTGAGGACCAAGGGTGGCTGGTGACATGGGGTCAAGACACATTTGTTCTGAGCCTGGGTGCATTTTGGTGTTTTGCTTCTTATCTAAACACAGCTGTTAAAATGGGACCTAATTAAACTTAAAAGCTTTTGTACAGCAATGGAAACCCTAAACAAAATGAAGAGAAAACCTATGGAGTGGGAGAAAGCATTTTCAAACGATGCCACCAACAAGGGCTTAATTTCCAAAATACAGAAACAGCTCACACAGCTCAATATCAAAAAAAAAAAAAAAACCCAATCAAAAAATGGACACAAGACACCTAAATAGACATTTCTCCAAAGAAGACATGCAGATGGCCAACAGGCACACAAAATGATGCTCAACATCACTAATTATTAGAAAAGTGCAAATCAAAACCACAATGAGATATTACC